TTTCTACCTGGTTTCAGCTAAACAGACAAACTGTATTCCACCCTTATTAAGGACAATGATTTACATTTATAACAGTTTGTTTACATTAAGATTCAATTTCTTAGCATTTTTGTAGTTTGTAGAAATAATTTCTTTGAGCTTTTATTTCAAAGTTCTGACGGTTCTCTTGGTGCCTTCTTGTGTTTAACTTTGAGAGAACGAATGGGAAGGAACCTAGAAAGGGAAACGGGACCAGGCTTGGGGCTCCAGAGGTTCATTTAACCCCTGCCCTGCTGATGACATCACATTACCAAACAAACCCCACGTCGTCTTAAGAAATGTGTCCACTATTTAATGTTCTGTCCAACCCGGTTTGTTCTGCAGGAAGCCATCGAGAGGAAGGAGAAGCGGGCCAGACGCTTCCATTTCCGCTGTGAGGAGACGGTGGCTCAGAGGAACGTCTTCCTGGATAAAGAGGCGATGAAGAAAGGTGCGAGGCGGCTCCCTGTCTGCTCATGCTCGCCGACAGGGAGCTGCCGCCGTTCTAACCTGTGGTCTTCTTCTTCTGTGGTGCCCAGCCATCCCCAGGCTGCGGATGGAGGCGATCCACGTGACGGGCGTGGACGACATGAGCACCCAGGACGTCTTCGGCTACTTTAAGGAGTATCCTCCAGCGCACATCGAGTGGATCAACGACACCGCCTGTGAGTCCAGAACACGGTCAGATCCAGGGGGGTTGTGGGCTCAGAACCACGGCTGCCAGTTGGTCCCAGCTGGGACCAGGACCGCTGACTGGCATAACTGGGTCAGATCAGTGGTTCTTCACCAAGAAGCTTTCAGCAGAACATTTTAGCAGAACATTTGGATCCAGAATTGAAAGAGTCCATTTCCCTGGCTGGTTCCATGCTCGGAACCGAACCAGAACCTGTTTTTTCACCTGCTCTGATCCGTAGAAACCCTTCCAGGAGTTTCTCATCGGGGAGTAGAGATGAACATCTATCTGAGTCGGGTCAGAACCTCATGTTCTTGTTGTCAAACAGGCTGACAGCATGATGCTGCCACCGCCGTGCTTCATGGCTGGTTTCCACCAAGCTGCCTGCCCAGTGGTCTCTGATGGTCCATGTCAGGTGTTGGCTCTGGAGCCGGAGCTTCAGTCTGGGTTCAGTTCACAGCAGCTCTGACCCGGTGGTTCCCCCCGCTTGTTCTGCAAGCTGCTCCATCATATTCCTGTTCTGAAAACTTCAGCTCCACCTGCTGGCAGGTCCAGGTTCTGGGTTTATCATTTGGGCCCGATTGGACCAGAGAAAATCCTTCATAGTTTATACTTCCTGTTTTATAAAGGTTCTGGTTCTGATGAATCCCTGAAACCAGAAATAATAGCGATTGACCTGAACCTGCTGTCCTGGACCCGAACTTGAGCTCGCTCCTGATTCCCAGTCTAACCGTTTCCTAGGTAACGTGGTTTGGCTGGACGATGACACGTGCATCAGAGCTCTGATCAACGCCAGCAGGATGCCTGACCCTGAGGCTGTTGCCACGGAGACTGAGTCCGGAACACATCCCGACGACCCGAGCAAAGGTCAGTTTGAACCAGAGGCTGTTTCTCAATGTGTGTCCTTGTGCGTTCTCGTGAAACGTCATCACCCTCAGCCCTAGTTCCAATTCACAAGAACAAGAAGACCGAGAACGAACAAAATCCCTGGATATTGTTCTCACCCCTCTGTATTTAGATTCACAGCTGTCCCAGCATGCACCGAAGCGGTCACAGAGCTCAGAGTATTATGTTAAAAGTTCTCTTTTTTTTTTGCCTTTCAATAAAGTACTTTTTAAGATTATTTGAGGCAAGAACATTATACTTTTAAGCGTCACTATATGGCCCATTTACTAATTTAATGCGTAATTTAACAAAAAAAAAGGTTCCGATGTTGAGCGGACCATGGCAGCCAGCAGACCTCCGAGGCTAACCGCAGCCCGTCTGCAGCAGCCCGTCTGCAGCAGCCCGTCTGCAGCAGCCCTCTCTTGGCATAGCTGTGTGTGAAGGACGGCTGGCTATGACGGTGATCTTTTTTGTTTTATTTGGCAAAATGTTAATTTGATTTGTGTTTATGTGATTCTGTTCATTATTATTCTCCCACTAAATGGAAAAAGTAAGAATTTATTATCTTGAGAATGCGGTGACATCACGAGTGCGCTTCTGTTCCAATTGTCCCATATTTATTCTGCGGCTCCTGTTCTCTTTGAGTCCAAACCTTCCTGTTTTTTTGTCAATAACACACTTGGGTTGGTTATCCTTCCCCAGCCGTGTATCGCAGCGAGCTGGTCGCAGATATTTTTGATTTATGCCCAATATTGAAGCGTGGCCTGCGCTGTTATTCCAAGCCACAATGCAAGAGGGACGATCTCGAACTAGCTGTGGGTCTAGATACGGCCGAGGCGGTGAGGAAGTGGGGGCAAGTTTTTGCGACATCGGAGGGACATGAGGGTGAAAAAGAGCGGGGATCCAGGTGGAAAAAGGGTCCCAGCGTTCTTTCACACCTCGCTCTTCTAGCTGGTCCATCTTCATGAATCGTTTTCCACAATGGCGGTCATACAAACAAAACAAGCCGGTAAGGCACCAAACAGGAAGTACCCATAGTGTAGATAGGATGTAGATCTGACCAATCAGAGACCTCCTGTCTGCGGTCACCTACAATTTTGGAGAGGTGCAGCAGAGTGTCTACTGAAGGGGCGGGACATATCTATGTTAACTCCGACGCACACGCAGACAGCCTGGTTTCTGAGCGTAAATCACCTTTTGTGAGGAAATGAGTCCGTGCTCACGTTCTTGTGAATTGAGAAAGGGCCTGAGTCTGTTCCGGTTAATGCTGCAGTGCATTCTGGGTAACTGTGTTCTGTTTGACCGGTGCAGCTCCTCGGGCCCAAGGATCCGAAGACGAGGATGAGGAGGAGAAGGGTGAGGTGGATGAAGAGGAGGAGGAAGAGGTGAAGAAGAGTGTGGACAATGAGGGGACGAAGGTGAAGGCTGGACAGGTAAGGAGAAGCTGATCTGTGAGGGCAGGCGGTCGGTTTGACTGAGCTGATGAACGCCTGCTGGTAGCTGAAGGTTTAATGAGAGAGAAAAATGTTAGAGATGAAGAACTCTGGTCAGAAAAACACGTCTGATAACTCGAGATATTATTATGTACAAACACAGAGACTGAGAGAAAAATCCACCCGTTTGTTTAGATATCCAGCAACGTTTCCGTTGCTCGCTGCTCCTCAGTTACGAGGCTGTCATGCTGGAGGAAACGCAATTAAACCTTTTGTCATCCAGACTATTTTTGGCTGATCTTGGCTTAAATTTATCGGTTTCAGTCGATTCATTCACGTGGTGGAGCTCATGCATCACCCCTTGCACCATCTGCAGACAATTGTTAACATCTTGATTTGTCAATAAAGGTTTTGTTTTTGTTCAGAAACGTCTGTAACATTTATCATCCCGTCGTTTTTAATCATTCAAAAGCAGCATCAACCTAGGGCTGGGCGATATGAGAAAATTCTAATATCGCGATATATTTGGGCGATAACGCAATACACAATATATTTCACTATATGTTTAAATTAGCTTAAAAACAATCAATACTCATTCAAACCTTTGGTTTCAAATTAAAACATTTTATTTTAACCAGATCAAAGCGTTTCACTAATAATGCTGCCACATAATGTATTTCTGTTACAGTATCACAGCTTTAACAAGATCCCAACAACCAAACAGCAAATAAAGCAAAAACATGCAATACTAAATAAACTGCAGAATAAACAACGGCACTTTGTGCATAATAATAAAAAAAAAAGCAGAATGAAAAAAGAAATTGACCTAAAATAACAAAAACAAAAGTGGAAGTTCTGTCCTAAAATTAGAGCATTATTAGAGCATCTCAAAATTATTTGCATTTATCTTTCTGTGTTGGGAATTTTAAAGAAGCTCGATAAATTATCGGTTTCACAGCTGATTTATTTAACGTTTTAATTGGTGAGCAGGGAGACGCTGACATGCAGGGTTTACAACATTCATTTTGCTGCGCATCACTTTTTAGTCGATGGAATAAATTTGTACTCATACCTTTTGCAGCAATAGTTTTTGAGGCACGTCCATCAAATGACCACCTTTTGTTCGACGTCCTCGCCGTAAAATCCAAACCACTGCCATATATTGCTCAGCTGAAACACCTGCTGTCGCCATATTTTGTTTGTTTGAGAAAATAACCCTGTTTTTAGAGGAGGGGTTTATGATGCGTTCGAGTGTGTGGGAAAAAATAAAACTCTAGGTGAAATAGATGCAGATGACTTAATGTTGTCATGCGAATTCGTACTGGATGGATGGGATAGTCATTTTAACTAACGAGCGTGGGAAAACTTGAGATACGAGTATATTTGATATACCACCCACCCCCACATCAACGTACACAATCGACCCCAAACATCAGCAGCAGATCTAAGGGATTCCCTTAAACTGATGTAAAAATTGATTTTAACAAACTGTTATCTCTTGATGTCTAGTAAAGAGGAAGACATGAGAGGAAAAGCCATGCAGGTGTAAACTGCTGAACTCACTTTAATCCATCATGCACAACTGGAGTCCGTGGCCCCTAGGGGGGTCCACAGAGGTACTGCATGGGGTCGCGAATGTTTTCGTTGATTAGATTTTTTAAATATATTTTCCCCTGCAATTTTTTTCCACTAATTGAAACATCTTTAAATACACATTAACATGAATTAAACACACTGTAGTAGACAGATAAATGGAGGCAGAAGATGTCTTTCAGTCATCAATGCACACATTCAGCGACACACAGGAGCTCTTTCAAGCTGGGCACCGTTTCATTCACAACACCTGTCCCATCAACCAGGAATCAGAAATACTTGAATAATCCCAGGGAGAATTGCTTTCGTTAAATTACTCCATAGGTAATAGAGTGACTATAGGACCAGTTTGATAGAACAGTTTCATACAATATATATAATTAGGGGGTCCCTGCTGCATCTCGCCATCAGTTTGGAGGTCCTTGGCCTGGAACATGTTTGACGGCATAAAGGGTTGAAGGAAGTTGGTGCATTTCAAAGGATTGTGTGTGTCTCAGGTGGAGGACCTGTCCCGCGCTGAGAGGGAGTCTCTGCTGAGGAACGAGCTCAGACCGGCCATCAAACCGTTCAAAGGAAACAAGCTGTTCCTGCGCTTCGCCACTCAGGGTAAATAAAACACTTCCTGTCACTGCTCACCTGATGCATCTGAACACTTTCACACTCTGCGGAACCTTGCATGCATAAAGCCGGGCATACACTGTACAATTTTTTATTTATTTATTTTTTTTGCGATTTCTTTCCAGTTGTGCGAGAATTTATCAATCAGGCCGACTTTCAGCCTGATCGTGACTCGTGTGGTGTACAGCGGGTAACGAGGGGCGATCAGCCTCTCATGACCACCTCCTGATCAGGAATCGTGAGGTTGGAAGAAAATCAAACATGTTTGATTTTCAGTCAGTCGTCATGGGGATATCGCTATGCGTGCAAACAAGTTTATGTCCGGCTTTAGAAGTAATGCAGCGGTTTGGGTCAGATGTTCTGTAGCAGAAACATCCAGAACCCTGGGGTCCACGGTTCAGAACCGCTGGTTGACCTGAACCATTAAGGCTGACAGAAATAAAACGAAAAAAGTGAGCAGATAAAATGGACCAGTTCTCCACTCTCCCAGTGTTAACATCAGACTGGTTTTCCTTGTATGGAAACCTTTGGACCTTTAATCTGACTGTATGATCTGGTTGAATTGTCTCTACAGTCATGGCCAAAAGTTTCGAGAGTGATTCAAATGTTAATATTTACAAAGTCTACTGCTTCAGTTTTCATAATGGCAATTTGCATATACTCCAGAATGTTCTAAAGAGTGATCAGCGTAACAGCAATTAATTGCAAAGTCAACATTTGCCTAGAAAATGAACTTTATCCCCCAAAACACATTTCAGCATCATTGCAGCCCTGCCTGAAAAGGACCAGCTAACATTGTTTCAGTGATTGCTCCATTAACACAGGTGTGGGTGGTGATGAGGACAGGGCTGGAGATAAATCTCTCATGATTAAGTAAGAATGACACCACTGGACACTTTAAAAAGAGGCTGTTGCTTGGCATCATTGGTTCTCTTCTGTGAACCATGGTTATCTCTAAAGAAACACGTTCATTCATCATTGCACTGCACAAAAATGGCCGAACAGGAAAGAGAATCGCAGCTAGAAAGATTGTACCGCAGTCAACAATCAAGGAGGTTGTATTATTGCCAAAAAGGCTCCAGGGCGCACAAGAAAGACCAGCAAGCGCCAGGACCGTCTCTTAAAAGTGTTTCAGCTGCGGGATCAGGCTACCAGCAGTGCAGAGCTTGCTCAGGAATGACAGCAGGCAGGTGTCAGTGCATCTGCACACACTGTGAGGCGGAGACTCTTGGAGCAAGGCCTGGTCTGAAGAAGGGTAGCAAAGAAGCGACTTCTCTCCAGGAAAAACATCAGGGACAGACTGATATTCTCCAAAAGGTACAGGGAGTGGACTGCTGAGGACTGGGGTAAAGTCACTTTCTCTGATGAATCCCCTTTCCCATTGTTTGGGACATCTGGAATACAGCTTGTTCGGAGAAGATGAGGTGAGCACTACTATCAGTCTTGTCTCATGCCAACTGTAAAGCATCCTGAAACCATTCATGTGTGGGGTTGCTTCTCAGCCAAGGGAGTCAGCTCTCTCACAGTCTTACCTAAAAACACAGCCATGAATAAAGAATGGTACCAGAATGCCCTCAGAGAGCAACTTCTCCCAACCGTCCAAGAGCAGTTTGATGAACAATGCCTTTTCCAGCATGATGGAGCACCTTGCCATAAAGCAAAGGTGATATCTATGGTTCAGGGAACAAAACAGAGATTTTGGGTCCATGGCCTGGAAACTCCCCTGATCTTAATCCCATTGAAAACTTGTGGTCAATCATCAAGAGATGGGTGGAAAAAACAAAAACCTAGGAATTCTGAAAAAATGCAAGCATTGATTGAGCAAGAATGGACTGCTATCAGTCAGGATTTGGTCCAGAAGTTGATTGAGAGCATGCCAGAGAGAATTGCAGAGGTCCTGAAGAAGAGGGGTCAACACTCCAAATATTGACTTGCTCCATTAACTGATTCTGTCATTAAAAGCTTTTTTTACTCATAATATAATTGCAATTGTATTTCTGCATGCAATGACAACATCTGACATACACACATGAAAACCAGAGGGAAGCAGATCATGTGAAAATATAATATTTGTGTCATTCTCAATACTTTTGGCCATGACTGTATAAATTGTCTTAAGATGACATGTTGTGAATTGGTGCCATAGAAATAAACTGACTTGAATTGGGCCAGCTCAGTCAGAGATCTGGTTCTGGTTTAAATGCAGTGGACCCGGTTTCTCATTTCTCTTTTTCCCGCTCAGACGATAAGAAGGAGCTGGGAGCGGCTCGCCGCAGCAGATACTACATGAAGTACGGGAACCCCAACTATGGAGGCATCAAGGGAATCCTCAGCAACTCCTGGTGAGGCCACACGCTGTTCAGCCATTGGCTGCTCTTATGTTTCGGTGGAAACCTAAACACCCTTTTTTCTCTGCGGAACAAAATATCAACATAACCTCTGTATCCCATAATGCTTAAAGTTTGACAGGTGGCCCAGAAGAACCAGAATCAGTGGTTTCCTTCAGAGTAGTTCCTCCTGTTAGAACTGAAGCAACACAGGGTAACCTTTGACCCTGAGATTAGCCTACTCTGAAATAGATTCAATGATCCATCTTTATCATCTGACTCAGAGCACTGCTTTCCGTCAGTCTGAGCTCTCCTTGAACAACACAGCTAACTAAGCTAACAGCTGTTAGCTCTGGCCCACAGCTGATCAGTCGTGTTTCTGGTTCTTTGATGGAGGATTTCATCCAGAGGGTGAATATTTCCTTGTCAGGAACTCCAGGACTGCTGGAGCTGGCCAAACTGGTCCGATACCAGAACCAGAATACAAACTGGTTAATGAAGAGATGGGTGCAGTGGTCAGGCGCTCCCCCTGGTGGTTAGAAGTTGAGGCGTAGCTTTAAAGGTGACGTCCAGTCAGCAAGAATAATCCATCGATCATTAACTATACCTAAAACTAACAGGTTTGCTGTGATTTAATGAATTTAGCATTAATCAGTGAAAAAATAGAATTAATAATTTTTGTTGCGATCACAGAGTCTGGGAGCGGCCATTTTTGCCCAAATATAGTAACACGTCACACCTGACATCTTCCAGCAGTGACGTCGCGGTGCGGTTAGCCTAGCGCCATTCTCCCCGCTTTACAAGCAAAATCTGTTGATCTGCAATCAACAATAATTATTGAAGATTTCCAGAGGACTTAACCATTGAAATTCACCAGAGCTATAGTGAAACTGACAATACCCATGTGCATAGCAGTTGGATGTTGGAATACATGCTACGGACAGGTTCGTCGTTGGATTGCCAACTTGAAGAGGGAGGATTTGCCATCGAACTTCTAGCCAGAGAAAAAACAGGTAATATGTAGCCAACATTTGGAAGAAGAATGTTTTCAAGATGACTTGGATAATAGCGCGTTGTGACAAACACCAGATACAGCACTGGGACTTGATCAACAGCTGATACCGCGACATCACAAACCAGTAGGTGGCAGTAGTGATCTTGGACAAACATGGATGCCTCCAGTCAAGCACCTTCAAATGAAAATCATTTATTGAACAGTATGTAATGATTTTATATTGAAAATACTTTCAGAAGTTTCAATTCTGAATATAACCGAACTTCTCCTTTCAAAAAGAATAGCGTCCCAGCAGCCCAGCACAGGATCATGAACTGTTACTACGAGACATAAATACCAAATCTACTTTTTGACCAAAAGTTTTTGTTCAGTATTGGTTTTTCTTCCTGAACTGACTTGATAAAATTATAAATTATCCAAGAGACTTCATTTAAACAAGAAATGAATGTTTATTAAAACCAAAACTTTATAAATAAAAGATGGAGGAAGCAGCAAGGCCTGAGCTTCAATCCACTGATATGCCGGTGAACATGTGACGTAGCGACCAGTAAAAGGAAAAAAAACAAAAGCTAATTCAGTCTATCTCTAATTTTACTGCATTTCTTATTTAATATGTTGTTTTCCCCATTAGTATAATGATATAATGAAAATATATAATCAATGATAATGTTTGTAATGGAGACCAGCTGCAGTTCAGTTGTTACCCTCAGGTTAGACGCTAACAGTTGAGACATGCAGCAGAAATCAGGAAGTTTCCAGATAGTCCATTGGATTCTAATCAGATTAAATCACTGTTTACGTCTGGAAGTTTGTTTCTACATCTGATTAAGGCGCTCCATAGGGTCCAGGATTGGCTAAAGGGAAGCCGCTCCACCTGCTGGGTTTCCCAACTGAATTTTTTGTAATGTTACCGTCGGGTTGTGGAACCCCTGCAGGGATTCTGATTGGCCCTTCGGCCTCCAACTGTTTCCTGTCTGTCTGATCAGGAAGAGGCGCTACCACAACCGCCGCATCCAGCGGGACGTCATTAAGAGCAAGAAGCCTCTGATTGGGGACAGCATGGGACACACCCCGCCGTACACCCACCGACACTCCGGTAAGACGCCCTCCCTGACGCCCAGCGGCCCATTAAAGGTTGGCTCTGTTACCCAGAATCCTCTGCTTTGTCCTCAGCTGACCTGGTCAATCTTCCTGAGGAGCCCATCAAAGAGGAGGAGGAGGAAGATGAAGAGGAGGAGGACCAGGGTGACGAAGACATGGACTCTGACGACAGGGTGGTGGAGTACAAGGAAAGAGGAGACGGATCTCGCCCGCTGGGGGCGGGGATTCGGAGTCGGGTGGAGCGTTCTCCTTCTCCGTGGTCAGAGTCTGACGAGATGGACTATGACCTGGAGCTGAAGATGATCTCCACACCGTCGCCCAAAAAGAGTAAGAAGATGACGATGTACGCAGACGAGATCGAAGGTCACCTGAAGAACATCCGGTGAGACCCCCACCCCACCCGTTCATGCATGTTCGTCTTTTTCCGCCATTTACAGCGGTGCAGCTCTTTCCAGGCTGCATCTGTTGGGTTTCCTCATTTAGTTTCTGTCGTCCAGAGCAGCTGTGGCTACAGTGAAGCGACTCCATAAAGCGCTCTACTAGTTCAGAATATTCATAAAACTGGTGAATTGGCTTAGTCCAAATCATTCAGAACCTCACCTTATCCGGGTTTACTGGACACGCCAGTACCACATTAAAAGATGAAAACTTCAGATCTTTCTAGAGCTCCAGCCACACAGAGGAGCCTCAGCAGAAAAGTCCGGTCAGAGGATTAACCAGAACCCTGTTCCCCTGAAATAGGAACCGGATCGGAGGGTCAGGATCACAGAACCGGGTCAAGGCCTCTTCACCCCCTAAGGTGACCGACGTCCGGCAGCTTCTGGAGGAGAAGAGACAGGGGAGCTCTCAGCACAGACGGCGCTCCCCTGTGGCCAGCAGCGGGAGAACAGGTGAGCTGGTAGATCTGGGTGTCCCGGGCGTGGGTCCAGGTGTCCCGGGCGTTGGTCCAGGTGTCCCGGGCGTGGGTCCGGGTGTCCCGGGCGTGGGTCCGGGTGTCCCGGGCGTGGGTCCGGGTGTCCCTCATGTTTATCCTTGTAAGGAAACCTACCTTTTGTCTCTGCAGACGTCAGACAGCGGCTCGGGAAGAGACGTTTCTCCCCAGACAGACGGCGCTCTCCGTCCCCAGTCTCTCCTAGAGACACGCCCCCAGCCAGGGAGCCAATCAGAGACGTGCACCGTCGGCTGGGCGTGGCCAGCCAGGACAGCAGAGGAACCTACACCAACGCCTCTAAAGACAGGAAGTCGAGTACGGATTCTATCTGATTCTGTTGCTCCAGTAAATGTTCTGAGCGGGAATCTGTTAGAACTTTAATCTACCATCAGATAGAAGGTCCTGATTTAAACCTGGAAGAGTCTGGAATTGGACTCTAGAGCTTTCCAGGTCTGGATCAGTTAGAAGTTAATTCCCTAAACCACCTCCTTCCTACCCTGCTTCCTCCTTTCTTTCCCTCCATATTGATTTTGTCCTCCCCTCCTTCCCTGTGTCCGTCCTTCTTTCATTCCGTGTGTCCGTCCTCCTTTCATTCCGTGTGTTCTTCCTTTCCATGTTTCTCCGTCTAGAAATGATCTTTACGCTCCTTGTGTCCTTCAGTATCCGGGCTAGAAAATGAGTGGCAGGAACTGAGAACTCTGTAAGAACCTGGAGGAACCAGTTCACCAGGTTCAGACGTTCTGGACAGGGAAATAATCCTCTTTTGGTTCCTTTATTCTGCCTGAGATTTGCTCTCCAGGCGAATGTGTTGATTGAAGTTCACTTCCTGATGTCACGGCGTTGAAACCGTTTCCGTTTGGTCCTCTGACCCCTGCTTGTTTCTGCAGGCGCTGTGTGGAGCAGACTCGGTTCTGGCAGTAAAGATGAAGGCAGCGCCGGCCATCGCAGCCGCCGGGAGGGGGGGCGCTCAGACCGGCAGGAGGGCAGCAGCAGGAGGCGGGACGACGGAGAAGGAGAAGAGGAGGAGGAGCGGGAGGAGGAAGACGACTCAACGCTGCAGAAGGTGTGGGGCGCCATGATCAAACAGAAACAGGAGCGCCGGAGCCACAAGATCAAGAAGAGCCGACTGGACAACCTTCCGTCGCTGCAGATTGAGATCAGCCGCGACAGCAGCGAGGAGTCGGACGCCTGATCCCGTCAGGTGGCGTCGAACACCATCATTGATCATTCCTGTTACCGTTGAGAAGCTGAACTCTGAGGAGGAGCTTCCTCCCTGCAGGGAATGCCACGGTGCTTCCCATCAGGACCAGGACAGAGCGACGGGTCGCATCAGAACAGCAGAACTGAAGCAGACAGCCTCCTCCAAATTTTTATTTTCCAGTTTTGTTTTTTGTTTTTTTTCTGTATGTAAACGATTGGCTTCAGTTACTCTGCTGGTTACACGAACATTGCTGGTATCAGGAAACAGAACGCGCTCCTGCTTTAACCACGTGGGTCCACGGCCGCCATGTCCAGACATTAACATGAACTGATGGTTCCTCTGTGCTGATCCAGTTTAAACCGATGGACCTCCTGAGTCCTGCAGACGACCAGCGCCGCTCACTGGGCTCAGCTGTTCCTAAATAAAACGTTTCAACCACAGAATCGGTCAGAACTTTCACTCCACCTGGTTTCCTTTTGATCCTTCATTTCATACCAGCAGATCCGTTTTCATTGGTTCCAGTTTTTCTTCCTCCTCCTGCCGCAGTCCGACCCAGCAGAGGACATCTGAGGGCTTATTTACACCACCTCCATACACAAACCACCGTGATCCGTTAAAAAATCAGACTGCGGTGTCGTCTGAGCCATTCGGACGCAGGGATTGGAGACAGCTGGGGACCGAAGTTACCTGCATCCAGACGGCATCATTATTCCTCAGACATTAATATAACTCATATGAAACTGTAGATCAACTTCACTGAATCTGAAACTGCAGCGTGTTTTATATGCTGGCACTACTGAGCCGACCCGTTACAGAAATAAAAATGTTTAATAAAGCAGCTTAAACTGTAAGTCTGCACCATATTTAAATGTTTTCTGTCCCTGATTTCTTCAGACTGAGTCGTTCCACAGATCAATACATTAATGGAGCACAGAGTGAGGAGGTGGTCACCACTGCTGGAAACATTGAAAACCCCTTTAAACACCAGTAGTGCTTGATGGATGGGACTGCTGGAGACTATAAATGGGAGGAAACATGTTTCTAGAAATAAACCAATTACCTGGACCATGATGGGCTTTAATTAATGAGTGGATTAAGGCTGATTTATACTTTGAAACCAGGTCGTCTGCGTGTGTGTAGCAGTTAATGCAGATAAGCTCCGCCCATTCCGCAGACACTCTGCTGCACCTCTCAAGAATTGTATGTGACTGCAGACAGGAGGCCTCTGATTGGTCGAATCTACAACCGCTCTACACTATGCGTATTTTCTGTTTGGTATCTTAGCTGCTTGTTTTGTTTGTATGACCGCCATTGTGGAAAACAACTCGTGAAGATGGACCAGCCAGAAGCGAGAGAACACTGGGACCGTTTTTCCACCTGGATCGCCGCTCTTTTTCGCCCTCATGTCCCTCCATTGTCGCAAAAAATTTCCCATTTCCTCAGCGCCTTGGCCTTACCTAGACCCACAGCTAGTTCCTGATTCTCCCAGACCTTTAGGCCCCGTCCACACGAAGACGAACCCTGGCCTAAACGCACACATTTTTCACCAAACCAGCCTCTCATCCACACGAAGCCGGCGTTTCGGGGGTCTGTAAACGATCTTTTTTTTATTCAGCCTTCAGAGTGGGAAGATTTCGAAACGCCGTTTTCGCGTTTCCATCTTTACGCCCTAACCGCATTTTTTTTTTTACACGCATGTGTCATAGCGTCGCCTCTAAACACGCATGCGCGACACATCACAACAACAATGGCGCCGTTGCTGCTAATGCTACTCACCCTGCTGTCGGGCTTACAACAGAATCTTCTTCTTCTGGAATATCTCCAGGAAGAACAGAGCAATATAGACGACATAGTCCAGCACCTGAATTTGACTGAACCACGAAAATAGACCCACAGGGCAACCATGTATAAATATTACTGCGCATGCCCAACATTTCGTCACTTATTTTTGCTTTGGCACCACAGCGCCACTTACAGGCCTTGCATACATTTTGCAGCGTTTTCATGCATTCGTGTGGATGATCACATTTATTTTACGTCTCCGTCTTTACGGCAAACGTTTTGGAAAATATCAGCGTTTCGTGTTCGTTTTGACTTCGTGTGGACGGGGCCTTAGAGTCCTTGGAGCAGCAGCCCTGCTTCTCATAGGAGTGAAAGGTAAAGTGGAGAATGTTCTGTTTCCAGGTGGATCAAAATAAGTGGTCCCACTAATTGTCAATCATTGGGTCTAGATATGGCTGAGGCGGTGAGGAAGTGGGGGCAAGTTTGTGCGAGGGACATAAGGGTGAAAAACAGCAGGGATCCAGGTGGAAAAAGGGTCCCATCGTTCTCACGCACCTCGCTCTTTTAGCTGGTCCCTCTTCATGAGTCGTTTTCCACAATGGCGGTCATACAAACAAAACAAGCCGGTAAGGCACCAAACAGGAAATAAGAATAGTGTAGAGCGGATGTAGAGTTGACCAATCAGAGACCTCCTATCTGCGGTCACCTACAATTTTGGGAGACGTGCACCAGAGTGTCTACGGAGGGGCGGGGGTACATTTGCGTTCACTGCAACACACGCAGACGACCTGGTTTGTGAGTATAAATAAGTCTTGAGACCATCCTACGTGCTCATCCGCATTTTCACTTACCAGTGATAAGTCTGACATAGTGGAAAAATTGCAAATCTGCTTTTGGAAAATAAACTTTTATGAGATGTAAACAGCAACCTTTAAACAGAGCGTGCACAAGTTTAATGGGCATTTCCTCTCGAGAGCAGGGACAGGGTTGTGCATGTGTTTTTTTTAAGTGGGGAGGGTGGGTTTTTTCAAAAATGTGCAAAAAATTCTCCACTATACCTTTAAGTGAAGATCTCCATAACACTTCTATAAATAACTGATATAGAATTTAAAATGTACTGCCAAAAAAATAAAGGAAGACTCACAAAACACATCCTAGATGTAAATGAGGAATATATTCTCATTGAATACTTAAAGTTGAATGTGCTGACAACAAGATCACCCAAAAATCATCAATGGAAATCAGATTAAGCAATGGAGGCCTGGATTTGGAGTCTCACACAAAATGAAAGAGGAAAAACACTACAGACTGATCCAGCTTTGATGTAATGTCCTTCAAACGGGTCAGAATGAGGCTCAGTGTGGTGGGTGACCTCCCTCCCTTCAATGCCTGGGCATACTCCTGGTTTTATACCTGTTATTAAATCGGATGCATATCTGATTTAATACCACAGATCTAGTGTCAGGTCTACGGGTCGTTTGATTTTCCCCAGTCCTCTGATGTTTCCCTTCCCTCTGGTTCTGTTCAGAGCAAAGATTAGGAGGATTTAATCCCTTTCCTGTAGTTCTGTGGTCCACCTGTTACATTTCAGATTATTTTTCACCGATTTCCTAGTGCAGAAGACCCAGCAGCTTAGAAAATGTAAATATTACACTAATAAATCTGATATGTTTTGTTCTGAATTGGCGCTATAAACATAATTGAACGGAAATTTATTCTCCATGTGTTGATGTTAGTTGAAGACTCCATTAAGGCCTCCGTAATCAAGGCAAGGATACAAATTAGCTGTCTTCACACTCATTTTCTCAAAGTTGAGTGGAAGGAAAAAGTTTTGTGAGAAAAGACTCTCCAGCAGCAAGGTGACCCCGGCCATGACAGGATTGTGGAGCTAAATCCACGAGTCTGGAGGAGCCTCACAATCTGTAGACTGCAGGTATCGGGATTCACAGCGCACAGAAATACCCGCACTTGGACAAAAAAAATGCAGAACCAGGCTGTCCTCCTTTCAGAGGAAAGGAAAATCATGGTCTGAAGGAAGAGTGGAGAGGTCCAGAATCCACAAACAGTGATGATCTAAGGCTCCATGACATCTACTGGTTCTGGTCCATTCACTGCCAATTGTCCATGAACCAAAGAAATTAAAGTTAGGAGCAAATATTATCTGTATTGAGAATTTTAACTCTTGACGTTTGGAGTTGTGATAGATATTCTTTCCCTCTTTATTAAATTATATACCTTCAGGACCCAGTTCAGAACCAGAATCTCCTCCTTTGTACATTTCTAAGCATTGACAATGGGTAGATTATAATCACCTAGGTGTTGATCTGAATAACAAACTGCACTGGACTCACAACACTGAGGCTCTGTATAAGAAAGGTCAGAGCAGAATATTCCTGCTGAGGAGACTGAGGTCTTTAGGAGTGGAGGGGGCGCTAATAAAGACCTTTTATGCCTCTGCTGTGGCATCAGCTATTTTCTATGGAGCTGTCTGTTGGAGCAGTGGCTTATCTGTAGCTGACAGAAAGCAGTTGGATAAGCTGATCAGGAAGGCCAGCTCTGTGATTGGATGTCCTCTGGACTCAGTGCAGGAGGTGGGAAACAAAAGCAACCTAACTAAATCAACATCTCTGTTGGCTAATGTCTCCCACCCCATGCATGAATCTGTTGCAGAACTGGAGAGCTCCTTCAGTGACAGACTGCTGCACCCTAAATGCACCATGGAGCGTTATCACAGATCCTTCCTCCCAGCAGCTGGAAGACTTTATTACCACCACTATTTCAAACAACCTCAATAACTGTTAGATTAATGCTGATTTTTGCACAGTTGCTAGCTTAGTCAGTTAAATAACATGCTGCTGTCATTTTGCACATCCCTGATGTTGCTGCTATTTTCAAATATCAAGTACAATGAAGATGTCCATAGCTGTATATTGGTTATTTATTCTCCAGATGCACAGTTTTATATTGTTAAAAAACTTTACAGTCCACAATTTTATTGTTAGCTTTTTATTGTTAGTATTGTATTGTTATTGTTGTATTCAAAGGGATTTTATATTCTAGATTAGTGCCGGTGTTGCACCATATTCTGTGGCCCATTATATATTGTGACCCAGTAATACTTTGCTCTGATTGACTACATGTATTTCACCATACATTCCTTTATGTTCAAGTATGAATCCATTTACGTTTAGCATTAGTAGATAGCAGGCTAGTCAGGTGAATCCCCCACAACATGTGCTTTAATGTAAATATTTGATGTGTCACAGAATATGATGTAACACCGGTGTGAACAACCGAGGCCAATAGAAAGTATATCATCCTGGTCATAATGGGCAGACGCTTGCCTAGTTGGAATCAACAACAGTTTTACAACCAGTAGAAGGTGGTTCTGATGAGATCGCATCAAAGCGCTGCCTGATGAGTAGTTAATAATAATTAAACTTTATTGATCTCACATTGGATTAATTTATCTCTGCATTTAACCCATCCCCTTGGGAAGCAGTGGGCTGCCATTGTGAGGCGCCCAGGGAGCAGCGTGGCGTTAAAGGTGTTGCTCAGGGACCCAAAATGAAGGCTGTGGGAATCGAACCGGGTACTTGCAATCTTCTCAGAGCACAAGCGCACTTACTTCTGGTTGCTTTTTAAACTGGATTCCTGCTCAGAATCCTGATCTGAACCCTCCAGAACCCCTCTGGAATGAACCAGGATCAGAGAGGAGGAGCAGTTGTGGTTTTCTCATCCAACACACTCTTACACCTTATGGAGGATGTTTACAGTATAGTTTAAGATGCTTTCTGTTATAGTAGGCTGTATTTCTGTTGTTGAAAATATAAAATGAATTTTTCTGAATTTTTTTTTTTTACAGTTTCTGTATTTTTATTATTTTAAGTCCATTTAATTTTTATTGTCAACATTTTATTGTATTACATTTAAAATGCTTTCAAAATTAAAAAAAATACATCTAATAATTTTATTTTATTTTTTTTTTTACATCTTTCATGTTTATTTTTAGTGTATTTTTATAAAGATTATTTCAGTTTAACATTGTGCCTGCCTGCGCCCCATGCGCATGTATTGTGTTGGCTAATCACTTTTCTTTCGTAACTGTCAAACCAAGCTTCTTCCCTCTGATTGGCTGCTTTGAGTGACTGCTATTCATCCCCACCAATCAAACTCCAAAGCCCGGGAAGCAGTGCTCGTTTCTAGCCAATAAGGTACACCTGACGTCACCTCAACTAGCATCAACTCCATGTGACGTAGGGAGCCCCTAGCTGCAGTCGCCATTTTCTTCTCATCGAAAACGAACCAAGAAAACCGACCAACAGCGGAAGAACTAATCCCGAACCGGGCCGTGTTTATTTTCGTGGTTCTGGGCCCAACAGTTCTCTTCGTGAATTAATGGACTGTGTGTTGCTACGTGGCGATGGTTTCAATCCGGCTGCTATAGGTTTGTCCGGGCCTCTGAGCTGGAAGATGGAGGAGAAGGCGGCCCGAGAAGACGCCTGCAGGGAGTACCAGTCCTCTCTGGAAGACCTGACGTTCAACAGCAAACCGCACATCAACATGCTCACCATCCTGGCCGAAGAGAACATCCAGTTCGCCAAGGATATCGTGGCTATTATTGAAGCTCAAATCAGCAAGGTTTTTATGATCATAGAATACTTTACCTTCAGTTTGTGTATGTGTGTTAAAGATGGCGGCGTTCTGGTTAGGAGGCCCCGCAGTAACTCCTCTCTGTATGAACAACTGAGTCAGGCTGTTATTAAAGCATTAGCATAGGAGCTAGCTTGATGTGGTCCTGCTTCAACAGAAAATCACTCTTTTATTAAAAATTATGAACCTTTACGGTTAAAACCAAAACAGCCGTTGGTGTAGAAGGGAGTCTTGTCGCTGACTGGGATGGTTTATAAACGGTTAGAAGGTAAACGTCAGTGTTTTATTTTTAAATGTTCAGTTTTAACTTGAATTAAGAGTCCATCAGACTGTAAGAACTGTCAGCACGGTCTAAACGGGCCTAAAAGCGGAAGTGATTTACTGCGGACCATGTGGCAACAGCGACCGACAAAAACAGGTCGGCGGCGACCGGAAACGGCTGCAAATGTGGTCACATCATCACCGACCGACCCGCTTCCTGTCACCTATCTAAAACAGGCCTCTGTAGAAACCAGCCGTGGTTTGGAAGCTTATAAAAAACTGTTTTACATAAATAAACTACAAGAATTTCTATGAGTTATGAAGCTCATGCAAACACCTGGGTGTGACTCAGCTGCTACAGTGTGACTAAATCCAGGATTTAAGCCAATGAGGATAATCTAATCGAAATAATAATAATAAAAAAGACTAAAGTCTTAGCTATATTTAGCGATATTGACTGTTGGTCTGTCATTTTTGTATAGTGTGGATAAAAATAGGTGGTAAAATGCAAATAAAGCTACTGTTTTGATTAAAAGTTAGTTTTTTTAAACCCTTTAAAGGGTTCCCATTTTTGATCACTTTCATACCCCTTACTAATGGAATCCCCACCCCCATCCCTCAGTGAGTTCTGGAAGCACAAGATCTATATCCAGCTATTCAGCAAACATACTGCTACATGGCTGTCCATCTTATTTTGGCATTTAACCAATTAGATGAGCCTTTGAATAATATATATGTATATATACTGTAAATTAAGTAGGGGAAAAAGTTAACAAGTCAAGAAAAAAGGTAAAAATCAAATTGAAAAGGTAAAAAGTAAAGTAAAACAAAAAACAATTATATTTAGGTTTATAATCTAAAAAATGTAAGTGCCAGTATCAGCATTAATGCTTCTAAGGTTATGTTGGACCTAAAAATGTATTTTTCTCACTCTCAGAGGGTTTTTCATAATTTCTTATAGAAGCACCTTTGTTATTTTTGTTATTACGTTTGGGTAAGTTGGCGTTTTTCAAAGTATTTCACTGAGTGCCCTATAAAGTGTTAAGCTTATGAGGATAATCTAATTGAAATATTAAAAACAAAGGAAAAGAAGTGGTTCAGACTAAAGGCTTTGCTGTATTTAGGGGATATTGACTATTGATCTGTCATTTTTTTATGGTTTGGATAAAAATGGATGGTAAAGTACAATTAAAGCTTCTTTTTTAATTCAAATTTAAAGTTCTTTTTTTAAAGAATAATGAATAAAGTTTGAGGTGGTTGTGGTTGGTTTTCCTCATCCAGGTGTCCCTCCAATTGTCCTGTTTTGCTGAGTAAGCAGCTCCATAGTTCAGTCCACAGGTCCAACAACCCAGCAGAGCAAACGGTTCACTCAGCCGTCAGCTTAACCCCACGTCATGTTAGAGGATTTAACCATGTGAAAAAACAGCTTATTTTGGTTTTACGTTAACTGAACTTCTGCCCTTAGGATCCACCTTAAAACCTGTGTTTAAGTTTTCAGGCTGATTTAAAAACGACGCGATCGTCGTCGCTGCGAACCAACCGTAGATCAGAGTGAAATCAGCTCCATTCATGGATTGTAGAAGGGGCAGTTCTGATTGAAGCTGGACCACATCGCTGTCTGTGTTACTGAATGGATTGTTGGGGCCAGCAGAGGGGCCCCGGGGCCCTCAGTGTTTGCATGTTGAAGCTCTGGTCACATGACGCCTGAGCGCGTCTCTGCATGAATTCACTCTACGTCCTGATTCCTTTATTTTTCCTGAAATGTGACTGACTGGTTAAACATGTTAATAATAAAAAATGTGAAATGTGCTTTTTGTCATTTTTTATTTCCTGGGTATGACTCTGGTTTCACTGCTCGCTCACTGAACTTTTAAAAGCAACCAGTGTGTGTGTTTAATCAACGGGTTTAAGCTTCTAAAGCACCACTAAAGAGTAAAGGCTGAATGAAAGCTGAAGAACCGTCTGGGTAACGTACAAAGAGGGTCAGACGCCCTCTTTGGAGGTAAACCTTCCTGAGGACTGGTTCCTGCAGATCATGGACTCTGGATTTCCCCCTCCTCTCCTTGAGGATGGATCTCAGTTTTTGTTTTTTTTCCCTGCTCCAGATTAAAGAGCAGAACCTGTCGAAGCTCTTTTGGACCTGTGGAGTTTTCCTCTAAGGCTGAAGAAACAAACTGGATGCTCTTTTTCCTCCTAAATTTTCCAGATTATTTTTAATTTTTGGGGGCGATGTTTTTCCCATGATGCCGGTTTTGTTTAGCAAACTTGCGCTTTTTTTTTGTTTTTGTTTTTTTCTCATTTGTTCTGAAATGTTGCTTTTAACCCCTGTTGTTTTCTAAACTTGTTGAGTTCTCTTATTGCTCCAGGCGCCGACCGCAGAGAAGCTTCCTGTTTTGTACTTAGTGGATTCCATAGTGAAGAATGTTGGAGGAGAATACCTCGCAGTGTTTGCTAAAAACCTAATCGCTTCATTTATTTGTGTCTTTGAAAAGGTAAAGTTGTCTTTGCTGCCGTTTGTCTTTCATATCAGCCCACTTCACCCCCCCACCCCCTGTTGAATATTTTCCTGTTCAGACACAGCCTGCTAACCATTATTGGGATGGAGGGGTGTTGAAGTGTGGGCCGAGCACCAAGTCCTGTGTTCTGTTTGTAGGTGGATGAAAACACTAGAAAGAGTCTGTTCAAGCTGCGCTCCACCTGGGATGAAGTCTTCCCGCTCAAGAAGCTGTATGCGCTGGACGTCAGGGTCAACTCGCTGGACCCGGCGTGGCCCATCAAGCCGCTGCCGCCAAACATCAACTCCAGCATCCACGTCAACCCCAGGTTCCTGAAGCAGGTGTGTGTGGCTAGCGCAGCGCGGGCCCCCCGGCCCGGTGGAGGGCGGCGCTGATATGTTGGTGTGATGGTTAAACTGGCTTCAGCATAGAGTAGGGGGAAGAATCTCTGCTGGAGGTGTTCTGGATGGGACTGGTTCTGCTAAATGATGGGGAGTGGATCAGTGTTCTGTTCAGGAAAAGCTGCACAGCTTCCTGTTGGAACAGCGCCCAGCGGGTGGTGGCCTCACCTACTGATCCACGTGTTCCAATGGGCCAGATTTAGGTTTTTCTTGGATATTCTGAAGGTTCCTCCTCTGTTTTAATCTCAATCAGTCCCATTTTTAGCCTTCAGCTTAAAATCATTTCCTCTCATATTTAAAAGTTGTGGAAAAAAAGTGTTTTTGATGGGATTTTATCTGAAACAAAAGAAAGCAAAGTTGGGAGAATAAACCAAATGAACATCTGATCGTTGATTAAACTACAGTTTCATGTTTATTGGGGGTGATGCTTCTGATAGATCAGCTCCAATCATTAATTTATTTTGTTGATGGTTAGAAATTGCCTGAATCCAGAACAATGATCAGGTGAGAACCGCTGACCCATTTAGCAGGAACCTCTAGGTCACAGAAACGATCAGAGGCTCTGTCTGGAGGTTGATATTGGACCAGTTTCTGATGCCACTGGATCGGTTCTGTTCTCACAGCAGCAGGAGTGGTTGTGTTTTATAGTTTTTTGTTGTTTTTTTTTGTGTGTGTGTGTGGAAGTAAACCCCAAACTGTGGCATTCCAGAACCTGCAGCAACCCCTGGTATCTCTGTCAGCTGAAAAGTGCAGCTCAGTGGCCCCCCGAGGAGCCTGTTTCTGAGTGGTAGGACCACAAGACCAGAACTTTAAATTTTTTTTTTTTTTTTTTTTTTTTTTTTTAAGATGAAAATCAGCTGAAATAAATCATTTTAGTGAATGAAATGCCCGGAAAGTTCTGGCTCTGTTGGTCTCTTGGAACCACATCGTAGGTTTGGGGAACTGCGTTCCTTGGTTGTTTCGTTAAGTCATCACTGGTCTAACCGATGCAGAGCGGGTCTCAACGGTTCGACCAACTGGAACTGAGACGGAGGCCATTTGGATCCGTTTGTATAAAATCTCTTTTTTTTTTTTTTTTTTCTTTTCCTGTTTTCAGTCTGAGGAGAAGGTGTCTCCACAACCGGCCCCCTCCAAGCCTGTAGCTTTACCCGTGGCCCCCCAGGCGAGCCCAGCGGCGCCGCCGTCCAGCCTGACCCAGGAGCAGCTGATCCGCCAGCAGCTTCTGGCCAAACAGAAGCAGCTGCTGGAGCTGCAGCAGAAGAAGATCGAGCTGGAGCTGGAGCAGACCAAAGCGCAGCTGGTAGGACGCCGCAGGTTCCCATCCGCTCTGCTTACTGCTGTGTTCTAGAAGCAGACTCAGTCTGATGTGATGAATGGCTCTGTCTCCAGGGAGGACTGGCTCTGCCGCCGTCGTCTACAGTGGCCCCCCAACCAGAGTCCAGCAGCACTCAGAGACCCGCCAACCCCATTCGACCCTGGATCCCCCCCCAGCCTCAACCTGACCCCAAGGCGTCCAGTAGAGACCCCCGTCTGAACCGTGGCGGGCCCCCAGCTGGGCCCACACTCAAAGAACAACCCCCCACCAAGAGGGAGAGCCCCCACCCTCCAGGGGGGCCCGGCGCCGCCATGGCGAGGAGGCCGCCAGAGAAATCCCCCCGGCCTGAGAAAGCCCGGCCCCCCAGGAAGGAGACACCAGAAGACAAGTTAAAGCCCAAATCTCCGTCCCCTCTGGCCAAAGGGCCCCAGGGCCGCATCAGGCCGGCAGAGCCTGAGGGCCCCAAGAAGGACCCCAGGACCAAGAAACGAGTACTGGAGAAGAGCGCTGAGCCCCGGGACGACGAGAAGAAGCGCTGCAGCGACAAGAAGGAGCGGGAGGAGGTGCCAAGGAGACCAGAGCCCCCTAGGTCCAAAATGCCCAATCTGGTCAACGGCCTGGGGGCCAAAACTGACCAAGCAGAGCCCGGAGACAAGGCTGACCCGAAGCCCGGAGGCGCCGCTCGCAGGAAACGCACCCGCTCACGGTCCCGCTCCCCCACCACCTCCCCTAAGAGGAAGGAACGCCGTTCCCCCAAAAGCCACGGCCGCAGCAGCTCCCCATCACCCCCCCACAAACCCGGGAAACCCCGGAGGCCCCGAGGAGACGACCCACAGAACGGAAAGCCGGGCCGAGACGACCGACCCGGCCCCAAGAAGACCCAGTCAGATGGCAGGAGAACCAAAAGGCCGCTGGACGAGCGGCACTCTGAGTCCAGGGACCCCCACAGGGGCCATGATGGTGCTGGGAAGGACCCCAAGGATGCGCCACACCGTTGGAGGAGCGGCTGGGAGGAGAACAAACAGTGAGTCCAGTTACCAGCCTGTCTTCTTAAAACCACTTTTAAATCTGTGTTCAGGAAACAACTAAGAGAGCTTTAGTGTTACTGGTTCTGGTTCCTATCGATCAGTGTTAAGCCGGGATTAAACTGTACAATTGTTTATCCTTTTGCCCTGTTAGAACGTGAAATGAGAACCTAACCTCACCTTTAGACTGAAACCTAACCAGATTAGGGAGTTCACAAACACCAGAATTCATTTAGTCCTGGTCCAGCTTTAAGTCTGACCACAATATTGGAGCTTTTTCATAAACCTTCTCAAACCAGATTAATAATCCAACAGGATCTGCTGCTAATAAATATTCATCCCAAAATTTAATCAGACTTTTTGGCGGTTAGACGAACACCGAAGCTCTGATTCTTCTTCTCTGGTATTTCTCAGCTGCTCCTTCCAAGCAGCGGAGTCGACATCAAAAATCAAAATTAAAATTTGAATGAGGTTAGAACCGGTTCCAGGCGGTTCTCGATGCACAGCGTCAGGAACTAAAACCTTTATATTTAAAGTGGAAATGATTTGAAATGAGCAATAATTAAATACTTTATTGCAATCCTGAAATAGGGTTACATCACCTCCATGGTTCTGGTTTAATCCCAGTTAAATGTATCTAAAGGAACTGATTGGAGGGAAAGGTCCAAACGTTTCTGAAGCTCCATGTGACGTCCAGGTTTCCTTGTTTCAGCATGAAGCTTCCAGAGGACTCCCACAACAAGCCCACCCCCCCCAGACACAAGCCACATGGCACCCCGACCCGCCCCAGCACACCCAGGAACCAGAAGATCCGGCTCAGCGTGGACGCTAACCTGCAGATCCCCGAGGTTCTGAACTCCGCCTCCAAGAAGGACCTTCTGAGGCGGGTAGGTCCAGAACAGCCCTCACCCAGGTTCCCTGCTATCCTCCGTTGTTCTAACGAAACACTCTTCCACGTCTCCGTCTCTCTACAGGCCAGCAAACGTCTGGAAAGGGGGGAAATTTCTCGGGAGGACTTCCTGAACATGGTGCACCAGATCAACCATTTCTTCCAGTACCAGGAGGAGAAGCAGCAGAGCTCCGGGAACTGGGACGACACCAGAAGGTTCTCCGCAAAGAAGCAATCTCTGCTGAGCGCGACCTGTCCTCAGGAAGCCATGGACCCCGCCCAGCTGTCGTACTTTGAGCACAAGTCCAAGCTGAGGAAGACGCAGGTCAACCACAGGGCGACGGGTGACGAAGGCCAGGAGGCGTCAGAGGAGGGCGAGAAGCTGGTGTCGAGGAGTGGGGGGCCCTACGGTCGACCATCGCAGGACCAAGCAGGTGAGCCGAGGAACAGCTTAGGCTGCCCTAACAGGTCGATTCAAGCTGGTCTCTGACTGACCTTTGACCTGCAGGTGAGCGAGACGAGCCGCAGCCGCCACTCGCCCCCATGGTGGAGGAGTACAACCACGGCAAGGAGTTCCCCAAACTCAAGTCTCTGCCAGGACTCCGCTTCAGGAGGAGAGCCGACCCCGCAGAGTCCAGTAAGTCTTGCAGCAGCGGCACGGTTCTGGAGGTGACGCTTGGTCGGCGTGGCGTTTGAGGCTCTGCAGCTCTGTAGGATTCCCCAGCGTCTCCTGTCTGTCTTTCAGGTGAGCGGGAGTGGACGTCGCCGCTGACGGAGCGCCAGCTTTATGACGAGCGGGAGGAGCACAAGAGTAGCTACGATGCCCCGCGGAGGTTCGGGCCGGCCGACCCACGCCGGCAGGATGGGCCCCTTCCCTCTGTAGGGGCCCACCGCAACTCCCTGGGCCCTGCTGGGCCGGATGCTCCGCCCCCTCGCTTTGAACGCTCCCGTCTGTCTCCTCTGCATCAGAAAGATGCGGCTGACCTGAGCCCGGTCCCTTGCTTTGAAAGTCCAAACAGCGAGCACTCAGATGAGGGGCCCCTGGAGGCCCCCCCTCCTCCTCCTCAGGGCTCCAAACCAAACATGAAGGGGCTCCCCCGTGGGGGGCCTCTGTCTGTTCGGCAGCACAGTGACTCCCCAGGACACACACCCCCACACGAAGGACACCCTCCTTCTATGTATGGGGGCCCCGGGCACATGGGCCCCTCCAGACCACACCGCCATGGCTGGAGCCGGTTCGAGGATCCCCAGTTTGATGGCCCCCACCACCCGGGGCCCGGCAGGTTCGAAGGTGGGGGGCCAGCACATCATAACCTGCCAGAGAGAACTGAGGGCCCCCCGCCCTGTGAGGGGCCCCGCATAGCAATGAGAGGAGAAGGGTTGGGGGCCTTTGACGGGCCCCCACAGGGGCCCAGCAGGTTTGGTGGTCCCATGGGACAACAGCAGTTTGAAGGGCCCATGGGGGGCCCTGGTCCGTCGGAGGGCCCCATGCAGCATTTTGAGGGGCCCAGCCACTTCGGCAACATGGGGCCTGGTCCAATGGGCTTCCAGCAGCAGCTGCCCCCCCGCTTTGAGGTTCCCAACAATCAGATGGGTCCAATGAGGTTCGAGGTCCCCGCACCGGGCCCCAGGTTTGACCTGCCAGGGGGGCCCCATCAAGTGGGCCCCCAACAGCCGGGACCTCCTCGCTACGATTACCCTCCTGGCCAGCAAGGTCCCCCTAGGTTCCCCCCCCAACACAACCTCCAGCTCCCTATGCAGCCCATGGCCCCCCCCATCTACGATGGCCCCGCCCCACCGCAGCAGAACTTTGGTATGGGCCCCCAGCGGTTCCAGGAGCCCATGAACCCTCAGTTCCCACCGGGGCAGAACCTGCTGCCGGCGGGAAACTTCAACATGCAGCCAACGCCGTTCAACCAACCGGGCCCCGGGCCCTTCTACAACCCGCCGGCACCTGTTGCCCCCATGCAGCAGCCGGTAAGTCCACACCGGCCCGATCCGGGTGTGGTTCTGGTCCTCAGTGGTTCTAAAGCTGCTCTCCTTCCAGGTGAACATGATGGGGAACGTGAACCAGCCCTACCTGCCTCAGAACCCGGTGCCTTTCGGACCACAGAGTACGTATCAGACGCCACGGTACCGGGCCTCAGCAGGAAGTGATGTCATCAGAAACTCTAACCTGTTTGTTTGCAGCTCCTCAGGTGGCTCCTCCAGAGAACCACTTCGGTCAGGTAGATGTCAACGACCTTCTGTCCAAACTCATCTTCAACGGCATCATCAAGCCGCCATCGCAGACCGACTCGTCACAGACGGCCAGCGGTGAGTGAGCCCCCCCACAGAACCAGAGCATGTTCTAGATGTCTGATCATCCCGTTGCCGAGGAAAGATCTAAGGCTGTGTCCTTCCTAACCTCTCCATCACTACATTTAGACAGCTTTATTCTGTCATTTGGTATACACGTGTGTAAACAAACACTACACAGTGAACTCTGTTAACTGACCGTTCCCCGTTGGTGACGCGCTCCCTGCACATTGTCTACGCCATCATTGTTCTCTCACCGCCAAAACAAATCTCATGAACTGCAAAGCATTCTGGAATATATCTGCNTAAACCCCAAACTGTGGCGTTCCAGAACCTGCAGCAACCCCTGGTATCTCTGTCAGCTGAAAAGTGCAGCTCAGTGGCCCCCCGAGGAGCCTGTTTCTGAGTGGTAGGACCACAAGACCAGAACTTTAAATTTTTTTTTTTTTTTTTTTTTTTTTTTTTAAGATGAAAATCAGCTGAAATAAATCATTTTAGTGAATGAAATGCCCGGAAAGTTCTGGCTCTGTTGGTCTCTTGGAACCACATCGTAGGTTTGGGGAACTGCGTTCCTTGGTTGTTTCGTTAAGTCATCACTGGTCTAACCGATGCAGAGCGGGTCTCAACGGTTCGACCAACTGGAACTGAGACGGAGGCCATTTGGATCCGTTTGTATAAAATCTCTTTTTTTTTTTTTTTTTTCTTTTCCTGTTTTCAGTCTGAGGAGAAGGTGTCTCCACAACCGGCCCCCTCCAAGCCTGTAGCTTTACCCGTGGCCCCCCAGGCGAGCCCAGCGGCGCCGCCGTCCAGCCTGACCCAGGAGCAGCTGATCCGCCAGCAGCTTCTGGCCAAACAGAAGCAGCTGCTGGAGCTGCAGCAGAAGAAGATCGAGCTGGAGCTGGAGCAGACCAAAGCGCAGCTGGTAGGACGCCGCAGGTTCCCATCCGCTCTGCTTACTGCTGTGTTCTAGAAGCAGACTCAGTCTGATGTGATGAATGGCTCTGTCTCCAGGGAGGACTGGCTCTGCCGCCGTCGTCTACAGTGGCCCCCCAACCAGAGTCCAGCAGCACTCAGAGACCCGCCAACCCCATTCGACCCTGGATCCCCCCCCAGCCTCAACCTGACCCCAAGGCGTCCAGTAGAGACCCCCGTCTGAACCGTGGCGGGCCCCCAGCTGGGCCCACACTCAAAGAACAACCCCCCACCAAGAGGGAGAGCCCCCACCCTCCAGGGGGGCCCGGCGCCGCCATGGCGAGGAGGCCGCCAGAGAAATCCCCCCGGCCTGAGAAAGCCCGGCCCCCCAGGAAGGAGACGCCAGAAGACAAGTTAAAGCCCAAATCTCCGTCCCCTCTGGCCAAAGGGCCCCAGGGCCGCATCAGGCCGGCAGAGCCTGAGGGCCCCAAGAAGGACCCCAGGACCAAGAAACGAGTACTGGAGAAGAGCGCTGAGCCCCGGGACGACGAGAAGAAGCGCTGCAGCGACAAGAAGGAGCGGGAGGAGGTGCCAAGGAGACCAGAGCCCCCTAGGTCCAAAATGCCCAATCTGGTCAACGGCCTGGGGGCCAAAACTGACCAAGCAGAGCCCGGAGACAAGGCTGACCCGAAGCCCGGAGGCGCCGCTCGCAGGAAACGCACCCGCTCACGGTCCCGCTCCCCCACCACCTCCCCTAAGAGGAAGGAACGCCGTTCCCCCAAAAGCCACGGCCGCAGCAGCTCCCCATCACCCCCCCACAAACCCGGGAAACCCCGGAGGCCCCGAGGAGACGACCCACAGAACGGAAAGCCGGGCCGAGACGACCGACCCGGCCCCAAGAAGACCCAGTCAGATGGCAGGAGAACCAAAAGGCCGCTGGACGAGCGGCACTCTGAGTCCAGGGACCCCCACAGGGGCCATGATGGTGCTGGGAAGGACCCCAAGGATGCGCCACACCGCTGGAGGAGCGGCTGGGAGGAGAACAAACAGTGAGTCCAGTTACCAGTCTGTCTTCTTAAAACCACTTTTAAATCTGTGTTCAGGAAACAACTAAGAGAGCTTTAGTGTTACTGGTTCTGGTTCCTATCGATCAGTGTTAAGCCGGGATTAAACTGTACAATTGTTTATCCTTTTGCCCTGTTAGAACGTGAAATGAGAACCTAACCTCACCTTTAGACTGAAACCTAACCAGATTAGGGAGTTCACAAACACCAGAATTCATTTAGTCCTGGTCCAGCTTTAAGTCTGACCACAATATTGGAGCTTTTTCATAAACCTTCTCAAACCAGATTAATAATCCAACAGGATCTGCTGCGGATAAATATTCATCCCAAAATTTAATCAAACTTTTTGGCGGTTAGACGAACACCGAAGCTCTGATTCTTCTTCTCTGGTATTTCTCAGCTGCTCCTTCCAAGCAGCGGAGTCGACATCAAAACTCAAAATTAAAATTTTAATGAGGTTAGAACCGGTTCCAGGCGGTTCTCGATGCACAGCCTCAGGAACTAAAAACTTTATATTTAAAGTGGAAATGATTTGAAATGAGCAATAATTAAATACTTTATTGCAGTCCTGAAATAGGGTTAAATCACCTCCATGGTTCTGGTTTAATCCCAGTTAAAAGTATCTAAAGGAACTGATTGGAGGAAAAGGTCCAAACGGTTCTGAAGCTCCATGTGACGTCCAGGTTTCCTTGTTTCAGCATGAAGCTTCCAGAGGACTCCCACAACAAGCCCACCCCCCCCAGACACAAGCCACATGGCACCCCGACCCGCCCCAGCACACCCAGGAACCAGAAGATCCGGCTCAGCGTGGACGCTAACCTGCAGATCCCCGAGGTTCTGAACTCCGCCTCCAAGAAGGACCTTCTGAGGCGGGTAGGTCCAGAACAGCCCTCACCCAGGTTCCCTGCTATCCTCCGTTGTTCTAACGAAACACTCTTCCACGTCTCCGTCTCTCTACAGGCCAGCAAACGTCTGGAAAGGGGGGAAATTTCTCGGGAGGACTTCCTGAACATGGTGCACCAGATCAACCATTTCTTCCAGTACCAGGAGGAGAAGCAGCAGAGCTCCGGGAACTGGGACGACACCAGAAGGTTCTCCGCCAAGAAGCAGTCTCTGCTGAGCGCGACCCGTCCTCAGGAAGCCATGGACCCCGCCCAGCTGTCGTACTTTGAGCACAAGTCCAAGCTGAGGAAGACGCAGGTCAACCACAGGGCGACGGGTGACGAAGGCCAGGAGGCGTCAGAGGAGGGCGAGAAGCTGGTGTCGAGGAGTGGGGGGCCCTACGGTCGACCATCGCAGGACCAAGCAGGTGAGCCGAGGAACAGCTTAGGCTGCCCTAACAGGTCGTTTCAAGCTGGTCTCTGACTGACCTTTGACCTGCAGGTGAGCGAGACGAGCCGCAGCCGCCACTCGCCCCCATGGTGGAGGAGTACAACCACGGCAAGGAGTTCCCCAAACTCAAGTCTCTGCCAGGACTCCGCTTCAGGAGGAGAGCCGACCCTGCAGAGTCCAGTAAGTCTTGCAGCAGCGGCACGGTTCTGGAGGTGACGCTTGGTCGGCGTGGCGTTTGAGGCTCTGCAGCTCTGTAGGATTCCCCAGCGTCTCCTGTCTGTCTTTCAGGTGAGCGGGAGTGGACGTCGCCGCTGACGGAGCGCCAGCTTTATGACGAGCGGGAGGAGCACAAGAGTAGCTACGATGCCCCGCGGAGGTTCGGGCCGGCCGACCCACGCCGGCAGGATGGGCCCCTTCCCTCTGTAGGGGCCCACCGCAACTCCCTGGGCCCTGCTGGGCCGGATGCTCCGCCCCCTCGCTTTGAACGCTCCCGTCTGTCTCCTCTGCATCAGAAAGATGCGGCTGACCTGAGCCCGGTCCCTTGCTTTGAAAGTCCAAACAGCGAGCACTCAGATGAGGGGCCCCTGGAGGCCCCCCCCCCTCCTCCTCAGGGCTCCAAACCAAACATGAAGGGGCTCCCCCGTGGGGGGCCTCTGTCTGTTCGGCAGCACAGTGACTCCCCAGGACACACACCCCCACACGAAGGACACCCTCCTTCTATGTATGGGGGCCCCGGGCACATGGGCCCCTCCAGACCACACCGCCATGGCTGGAGCCGGTTCGAGGATCCCCAGTTTGATGGCCCCCACCACCCGGGGGCCGGCAGGTTCGAAGGTGGGGGGCCAGCACATCATAACCTGCCAGAGAGAACTGAGGGCCCCCCGCCCTGTGAGGGGCCCCGCATAGCAATGAGAGGAGAAGGGTTGGGGGCCTTTGACGGGCCCCCACAGGGGCCCAGCAGGTTTGGTGGTCCCATGGGACAACAGCAGTTTGAAGGGCCCATGGGGGGCCCTGGTCCGTCAGAGGGCCCCATGCAGCATTTTGAGGGGCCCAGCCACTTCGGCAACATGGGGCCTGGTCCAATGGGCTTCCAGCAGCAGCTGCCCCCCCGCTTTGAGGTTCCCAACAATCAGATGGGTCCAATGAGGTTCGAGGTCCCCGCACCGGGCCCCAGGTTTGACCTGCCAGGGGGGCCCCATCAAGTGGGCCCCCAACAGCCAGGACCTCCTCGCTACGATTACCCTCCTGGCCAGCAAGGTCCCCCTAGGTTCCCCCCCCAACACAACCTCCAGCTCCCTATGCAGCCCATGGCCCCCCCCATCTACGATGGCCCCGCCCCACCGCAGCAGAACTTTGGTATGGGCCCCCAGCGGTTCCAGGAGCCCATGAACCCTCAGTTCCCACCGGGGCAGAACCTGCTGCCGGCAGGAAACTTCAACATGCAGCCAACGCCGTTCAACCAACCGGGCCCCGGGCCCTTCTACAACCCGCCGGCACCTGTTGCCCCCATGCAGCAGCCGGTAAGTCCACACCGGCCCGATCCGGGTGTGGTTCTGGTCCTCAGTGGTTCTAAAGCTGCTCTCCTTCCAGGTGAACATGATGGGGAACGTGAACCAGCCCTACCTGCCTCAGAACCCGGTGCCTTTCGGACCACAGAGTACGTATCAGACGCCACGGTACCGGGCCTCAGCAGGAAGTGATGTCATCAGAAACTCTAACCTGTTTGTTTGCAGCTCCTCAGGTGGCTCCTCCAGAGAACCACTTCGGTCAGGTAGACGTCAACGACCTTCTGTCCAAACTCATCTTCAACGGCATCATCAAGCCGCCATCGCAGACCGACTCGTCACAGACGGCCAGCGGTGAGTGAGCCCCCCCACAGAACCAGAGCATGTTCTAGATGTCTGATCATCCCGTTGCCGAGGAAAGATCTAAGGCTGTGTCCTTCCTAACCTCTCCATCACTACATTTAGACAGCTTTATTCTGTCATTTGGTATACACGTGTGTAAACAAACACTACACAGTGAACTCTGTTAACTGACCGTTCCCCGTTGGTGACGCGCTCCCTGCACGTTGCCTACGCCATCATTGTTCTCTCACCGCCAAAACAAATCTCATGAACTGCAAAGCATTCTGGAATATATCTGCAGGTCTATTGACCGTAGATGATCATTACTTTTCAAGGTGCATTGTGGGAAATTGAGTCCACTACTTTTTCATCCATTAAACATTTGGACACTTGTTTAAAACGGCATAACGTGTACATAGTGTTCTAGTTAGGGCGGACACAGCCTAAGAGGTGCTGGACGGGGCTGAAGACTTATGGTCTGAGATGAAGAAGGCTTCCTGTTTTTTCACTTTCAGAGGCGTCTTCCTCAGCTCCCGCTCCCGCCGCACCTGTGGAGGAGGAGGAAGAGGAGGAGCCTGAGGTGGAGGTGGAGGAGGAGGAAGATCTGCCAGACCTGACCAGCTTCAGCATCGAGATCATGAAGCAGTGAGTCCATCTGCTGGGCAAATTTTTTAAAGAATCATGCTCTGTTCAGACCGTGTGCAGCAAAAGCAGCATGCTGCTTCATTTTTGATCCTTGTACAAGTTTAGTTCTCACGCGCGGCTGAAGCATCTTTGTTGCTCCCGCTACGCGGTGGAAAAGTGGTTCTGATGCATGTTGGGCGGAGCTAACTTATCCTTTCTTTGCTTCTAAACTAGCTGCTCCTACTGCCTCTGCTGCTTTAGGTGTGAACGCACAGAGCTTAAAAGTTCGAGGGAAGTTAGCCTTTCATGCTAGCATTGCCATACCTGTTAGCAGAGCATGGCTAGAGAAAATGATATCTAGATTGCTCTATTGGTCTTAAATAATGTTAAACAAAATGATAGCATCTATAAACTCACAGCTGAAAATGAATGAAACCGGATCTAGATTAGAACAGAGAAATAGAACATGGAGGAAAAGCTCTCGGTCACTGAATTAATTTTGGGAAAAAATGTATCCTATTCCACGGATCTGGATAGCAGTAGCTACAGTAAGAGAGAGCTCCCTGATCAAACGAAAGTTCCTGTATGGTCTCTGAACGCAGCACAGGGGTTGGTAAACATCGCTGATGCTTCAGTCAAGCCTCTAATCGCTCTAACTGTATAAATGTTGTTGAAATGACTCCTTAGATTGGTGCGTACTGTTTGGTGCTGTCGGACCTCCTGGTTCTGACTCTTTGTCCCCCCCTGCAGGCGGTACGAGGGCTTGGTAACAAAGCTGTACTCAGGGAACCAGTGCTGCCTCTGCAGCATGCGCTTCACGGCGGCTCAGACAGACATGTACGCCGACCATCTGGACTGGCACTTTAGGCAGAACCATGCGGGCAAGGTAGCCAGCAAGAAGGTGACGCATCGGCGGTGGTACTACAGCCTGACGGTGAGGTCACACACAGAGCGCCGCCTCCTGAGAGTCCATGGAGGTAGCCTGTGAACATTCTGTCCTTTGCCTCTGTCCATCAGGACTGGATCGAGTTCGAGGAGATCGCCGACCTGGAGGAGCGGGCCAAGAGTCAGTTCTTTGAGAAGGAGAACGAGGAGGAGGTCCAGAAGAACCAGGCAGCGGCCAAAGAGAAGGAGTTCCAGAGCGTCAGAGCCACCAAGGACCAAGTAGGAGAGGTGAGCGGCCATGAGAGCTCCTGATTGGTCCACAGATCATCTGTTATCCTCTGAACATTCCACCAGCAAATGGTTCTGAGGTTTCCATGGAAACATACTTAAAACCCAGCCTCAGCTGCTGATTGGCTGCTCCTTAGGTCCTCCACCCAGTGGTTCTGCTAGACCTGGACTGGGTCAGACATCAGGCTGTGGTCCATCAGGTTTTCAGGGGAGAGGGTTCAGATCAGAACCTTCTGTTCTGGGGGTTTCTGGGTGGTTTACTGGGTCCGGTTCTGACCTGATGAACAGACAGGAACGCTGCTTCTGTTTTTCTATTTCCCTGATATCATGGGAACCCAGCAGAGTGGTTCTGATGGGTCTGTTCTTCTTTGCAGTCCTGTGAAATATGCCAGGAGCCATTTGAGACTTACTGGGTCGAGGAAGAGGAAGACTGGTTCCTGAAGAACGCTGTCCGGGTCGACGACAAGGTGAGGCTCCGCCTACTTTACATCATCAGCCTGTAGATCCAGGTTCTTGAGCTGGGCTCAGGTTGGATATGAACTTTGACTTTGACAAACCGGAACCATCCGGTCCAGATCCGACATCTGGGCCCGGTTCGGTTTGCTTTAGTTAAATGTTCGGGACCCAAACGGCAAAAGAAAAACCAGCCAGAACATTTCAGAGGATTCGGCTTTGAGAGGAACCGGTAGAACCTGACCCGTTTGTTTTGTCTCTACAGAATTTCCACCCCGCCTGCTTCGAGGATTATAAAAATGTAAGCGTCCTTCATCACTGAGCTGTTCAGCCTTTCTGTGCCGCTCTTCCTCACCCTCTGTCTCCTCTTCCTCGTCCCCTCAGACATCGTCCTACCTGGACGTGACGCCGTCGCCCAGCAGGCTGCTGACCGAGCACCCGCTGGGAGCCTTCATCAAGACCGAGGAGGAGGAGGTGGAGACTTCCTGCGAGGTCAAACAGGAAGCTAAGAGTGCGTGCAGTGGTCCTCCACCACAGGAGCCCGTTTCCACAGCCCAGGAGGCTCCCATGGACTCGGTTAAGTCCGAGGACAAGGCTTGACTCGGCGCCGCTCCTCTTCGTCCCGTTGGGTCGAAGGTTTTTTACGACTTGAATACATTTTGGTATTTGGATTGTTATGCGGCCATTTCAGGGCTGCGGTTCTGTTTGCTTCGGCTGTAAATGATTTAATTTATACATTAAAGTATTTTTGGTAACTCTGGTCTACTGCTGCTGTTTGCTACCTGTACATAGTCTCAGCTGATTGGTCAGCTGCTTTGTTGAGTCATCACAGGTGTTGAAGGTAAGCATCATCTGATTGGACGACCGGAAGCGACTCGGAGGATCCTGTCTGCTCTGTTCTTTGCTTTCCCTTCAATAAACGAGTCTGAAAAGTTGATTTGTGTGAATTCTGATTGATCCAACTCACTTTGTCATTTTAGGTTAAATCATTAAAAAATAAAGTTTCATTGGATTTGAATTTCCTGTTCTCCTGTTTTTTATTCTCTACATGATCCGTTTTAAAATCAACCTAATCTTTGGGTGTGGGATGGTTTCTGCAGATTATGTCCATATTTACTGGGCCTGTCCTAAATTGAAGATCTTTTGACACAACGTTAAGCAAATGATCTGAAACCCTGGACACAGTTTTGGACTTTCTTTCACCTCATAGTACCTTGGGAAAGCTCACTGAAGGACTCAGTTCAAGGGACACATTTAATTGTAAAAAGGCAAACGCTGGCTCTAGTCAGGCCCCCCTACCTTGAGGCTCTTCATAAACATACAATGGAAACTTTGACTTTCTCCCTCTGTCTCCAGAAGGAGAAAGAAGAGAGACTGGGGAAAAATGCAAAAAACGCATAACATGTTTGTGAATTGGGAAAATATCTGTCTCTTTTGACTGTTGGGTACCCTGATCCCAGGTTGTGGTCTATATGTGTTATTTTTATTGTGATTCAGACCAGTAATGCTCTATATACTGTATGGGTGCTCTAGCCCTCACTTGTGTTTGCCTTTGTTCAATAACTAAAAATAAAGTAATAAAAAAATCAACCTAAAATACTTGAAATTATCACTTTTGTCTGACCAGCCTAAATTATGCTTTTATTTGCGTGAAACAAATTTCCATGAAGTGACCTTAAAGCAACAGAGCAGGTTTTTTGACCAAACTATCAGCTCAATTGGAACTTAATCTCTGATCCTCACCTCAACATCATCGATGCTCCTTCTCTAATCTCTCCTACGAGACAAGAACATTGGGCTCAATGGCTTTGGAAAAAAATGTAATCCACAAAAACTGAAAAAGTAACTGCTGTGTTTTTGTTTTTCTTTTTAGACACTTTTTCATATTTTATCCAAAAAATGTATTTTATGTATTAAAATTTAAAGTTTTAACATTTCTTTAATGAATGCCATTTGCTTCACTTTACGTTCAATCTTCATCCATAAAAATGTTGCTAAAATCCACCAGACCAATAGAAATGCTACTTTGCTTCCATTCAAGAAGGCGGCCTGCCCCCAAAGGAGAAATGCAGTTTGTAAAAAAAAAAATTCATCCTAAAAAACTGAAATTGATTAAGTTTAAAGTATGTAAAAAAATTTCAGAAAAAAAGTTTAAATAAGTTACTCCCAAAACATTTTACTTTTTCAAAATTTATTTTCTGGATTGTTGTTTTTCTTTTATATCAGTTCACCAACGCATTCTTTGGAACAAAGTTCAATCCATATTGTTGAGATTCTCTGTTGTTTCATCAGAAATGACTAAAGAACTGCCGGTAGATAGTTAAACTTTAGTCCACCCTGTTAATCGTTATTTTACAGCACAGTGGCCACCTTAAATGGTCGACTTGTGGCATATTAGTTCACTGCTGGTAACACCAGAAGAATGGTAACATCGTGTGAGACAAAGATCATAGTTTTTATGGTGATGCTTCAAAGATGTAGGATGCCACAAAGGTGAGGATTGAAAAAGTCATTTTTACTTAAAATAAGTGCATTTTTTAATGAATTGTAGAGGTAAGTGAGACACATTGCCAATGGAATAAGACGATTTGAATTTAAAATAAGAAAAAAACAATTGCATTGTCTTATATCAAGTTTATATCATCTAATTATATTATTTTCAGAGTAAAAATATTAATTCCATTAGCAAATCATCTTATGTACCTACTCAAATTAAGGGTAAATACATTTAATTTATGAATAGTTGACTTATTTCTATCATATTTTCACGATCATAAGGCGCACCGTACTAAAAGGCGCAGTCTCAGTTATGTGTGCCATTACTGTATTTAACACACACATAAGGCGCACCGGACTATAGGGCGTGGGTTTTATATACAGGTACATGTCCTCTACTACCTTTAAATACCTCTACTGCATATTTAAAAAAAGAGCGGGAGCAAAACTGAGTATGACTGTGCTTTATTCATGTATTTATTACAAAGTATTAATCAAACCTGGGAGCTGGCCGTGAGACAGACACATCGCTCTGATGACACAGGGCTATGATCACTCCTCTGAAACAGTTTATTGATGCATAAATTAACTTAAAATGCAGAAATCTGCCGGCAGAATATGTTCTCTTATTATCCTGGTGCCTGCAGTTTAGATTATTTAGATGAAAAACACCTACCAGCCGCCGCGGTGAACCGCGAGGAAGCGACCTGGCCTCCTACTGACAGCGCACTTTCTCACTTAAAAACATATTAAAACTACTTTATTCCCACTGATCACAGCAAATATAGCTGCAAGGCAAAGAAAGGATAGAGTAGCTCCGCCCAACGCGGGTCAGACACACTTTTGCACTGCGTAGCCAGAGCAGCAAAGCTGCTTCAGCCACGCGTCAGAACTAACTGGTACAAGCAGCAAAAAAAAACCCCACCTGGTCTCCTTACATACACCTCCCTCAGCCACTCTTTCATCATCCCCTCAATGAGGAGATGAGGAGTTCTGCATAAAGCACATACCTGTTCTTTTATACACAATCCACACCCACTCTTCCCCCTTTAACGTTCTCATGGTGGTCTCAGCAACGTCCGCATTAACAACACACATAGGGCGTACCGCACTATAGGGTGCGCCGCACATTTTGAGGGGAAAAAAAGACGTTTATATGCGCCTTATAGTCACGAAAATACGGTAGATCTTTTTTACAGTGTGGTGCCCACTGAGAAACACGGTGGTGGCAGTGTCCACAAGTGGGGTTGCCATGAACTCCCAGATTGACTGAAAGGGAGGTGGCTACCATCGCTGCTAACTTAGATCAACAATCATTTTTGCAAAAGCTGCTGCCTGGTGGATTCTACAGCTGCAGCTGATCCAGAAAGCTGCAGCCTGCGTCCTCACTGGAACTAGGAACGTGGAGAACATCATTCCAGTTTTAAAGTCCTCCCACTGGCTCCCTGTATCTCTGAGAGAGGCCTTTAAAATCCTTCTTAGTCTAGTAATTACCGAATGGCTTCACTTCAAAATACATTAGAGGCTGGTTGGCAGTGGATCAACAGCCAAACCTCTCAGCTCTACTGGATCAGAACCAGAACCAAACACTGTGGAGCAGATTCTAGTTCTACTGCTTCTCTAATCCGGAATAAACTCCCAAAAGAGAGTAGAAGAGTTGAAATGAATCCAGATTTAGAATGTGTCTGTTTATATTGGCCCTTGGCTGAGAGATCTACAGGAGCAGCCATTCAAAATGGCCGCTACCAGTCAAACGGCAGCGGAATAGCAGCCCACTCCCCTCCAACTTCCCGCCACTGGCCTTCTCCTGCAGCATTTTTGGTCTCCCAAATGCATGCCCAATGGGTAGAAAAAAACGGATGTGGGATAATGCTTCTTTTTAATTCTTAATGTCCACAAATCATGACAGAAAGAATATTTTAGTAGAAAGACTGATGTTTAAAAAGGAATTGTAGGCGACCAGCCAAGGGCCAATCAGGGAAAGTAGGGACATTTTGACTGGCTACTACTTTAATTACATTAGTAGTTATGTTTTCAGTCCAACTTTCCTTCACAATCATTTTCCTATTTTATAAAAGTAATTTTGATCATATTTATTTGTATTCCCTTTGGGTTTTCTTTCCATCTACAGCACTTTGAATTGTCTTGTCACTGAAATATGCTCTAAATAAGCATTTATTGAAATAGTGGCTTAAATCCTAACTTTTCAAAGGGGGTGTGTTTATTTATGGTGAACAGACTTAGTTCTGAAGTGAAGCGGTTCCGTTCAATCCAGTGTCTGACTGATGTTTTTACCTCCAATAAGCTCAGATATGATTAATAAATCTCCTTTTTGGTAAAAAAAAAAAAAAAAAAACGTTCTGGTTGGTCATAGAACCTCAAATCTGACCTACGACGCCCATCAGAACCAGAACCCAGTGTATGATGACCATTAATCTGGGATCATGTGCTGTTTGATCTGAATCTGAGCACATGACCGGCCTGTAGGATATTCAGCTCAGAACCGGCCCTCTCTCCCTGTCGGTGACCAAAACATCCTATTTCTACAAAAGTTGCTGCTTCTGTTTTTCATGTCAGACATGTAATATGGATATTATGATGGCAAAAATGAATGTAAATTTAATAATAAAAAGCGCCATCTTGCCTGAATATATTAAGAAAAATAAAAGTGATTTTATAAGAAATCTATGAAAAACACTCTGAGAGTGAAAGAAAAATTTTTTTTGGGTACAACATAACCTTAGAGGCATTACTGCTGATACTGGCACTTACATTTTATGGTTTATAAACCTAAATATCATTGTTAACTAGGCTTATTCACTTTGTAACGTAACTTCTTTAACTTTTCAATTAGCTTTTTTTCTTTACTTCACTTTTTTCCAACTTTATTCACAGTAGGTAATTTATCATCCAATTGGTCAAATGCCAAAATAAGATGTTCAGCAATGTAGCAGCATCTTTGCTGATTTGTCATCTTAAAAACATTCTTCTTCCAAATGTTGGCTACATATTACATGTTTTTTCTCTGGCCTGAAGTTCAATGGCAAATCCTCCCTCTTCAAGTTGGTAATCCAATGATGAACCCGTCCGTGGAGGATCAGGAATGGGAAAGGTGAAATAACTAATTTGTTTTTCACTTTTACCCGATGTATTCCAGCATCCAGCTGCCATGCACATGGACATTGTCAGTTTAACTATAGCTCTGGTGAATTTCAATGGTGAAGTCCTCTGGAAATCTTCAATAATTGTTGTTGATTGCAGATGTGTCTAGTAGCTCCTATTGATTCTGCTTGTAAAGCGGGGAAAATGGTGCTAGGTTTACGCACTGTGACGTCACTGCTGGAAGATGTCAGGAGTGGAGCGTGCTTTGGTGGCGCAGTGGTTAGCGCACTCGACCCATGTATGGAGTCCTTACCTGCATGTCTCTCCCCCTCTTTCATACCCCCTTTACTGTCAGCCTACTGTCCATGAAAACGAGCCACTAGTGCCATAATCTGGGCAAAACTGGCTGACAACAAATAATATTTTTATTTTTTTTACCGATTAATGCTAAATTCATTAAATCACCGCGAACCTATTAGTTTAGCTATAAATAATGATCCAATGATCATTCCTTGCTGACCGGACTTCTCCTTTAATCTCTTCTTTCACATTTTGCATAGAACATTGGCAGAATTTTTCAATTTATTTTCCGATATTTATTGATGCTTATATGACCCATTCTAGTGCTTTAGGGAGAAAAATGCTTCCTAATCTGTTCTCATGAAAACCTGCAGAATTTTCTATGGTTTGTGTGAAAAGTAACAGTGACTGAATAAAACATATCAGAGGCTGTTGATTTATTATCAAGCAGATTTATTTATCCAAAAAAATCTTAATCTTCATCCATAAAGATCCTGAAACATGTTGATCTAACAGCCGCCGCTGAGCTCATAGCTGACCCGGCCCGTCTGGATGTTCTTCTACTCAGATGAAGCAAAGCTTTCATCGTCGTCAAAAAACTGTTCTAGTGGCAGAAGGGTGTTCTGACACCCCTCTGCCACTAGAGCGGCGACACCACACATTTCTACAAAACAAAGGTTCTTTGATGCATCAGGCTGCAGAAACAAAGCAACCCGGTTCTGATGTTGATCCGTCACCTCCAGAACCGGTAGACTCCCAAAGCGATGGCCAGGCAGGAGAAGACGGTGGCTGTGAAGGAACGCAGAACATTAACACAACGCTGAGAATCCAGAACCGCGGCCTCAGCTTCGCCGGGCCTACCTGCCAGGTATCGGACCGTCTCCAGCTTCAGGGACTCCAGCACCGTTTTTAGTGACGCCACCTGCAGGTCGATCTTCTTATTGATCTCCATGTTGTCGTTTTCCAGGTCGGCTTTCTGATGTCATCAAGAAACAACCAATCAGAGGCATGTATGGTGGACCTGCGCCCCCTGGAGTATTAACGCAGTACTGCGGGTGTTTCCTTTGAGGGTTACCTGGTGACGAAACTCTGACGTAGCTTCCATCAGCTTCTTCTCCTGATCAGTGAACTAAGAGAAACAGAAGCAGGAGATCCAACTGAGAATCTAGAACCATTTTAACGATGGATTTAAAGAATGCTTATGATTTTCTAGATACTTTGCTGCTTCTCCAAACACCCACCATGTCAGAGATGCGGCTTCTCTCCAGGTTGATGTCTAGTTTGGTTTCTGCTCGGACCTTCTGGCTCTCCTCCTGTCAAAAAAAACCTCCTAATTGTCATGGAGCATTCACACCAGAGGCGGTGGCATCAGCGCCTCCGGTGAGGCAGCAACATCTTCAAATAGGAGGAGCTTCAGTTGCGTGAAGCCGACACCCCACCACGTTAAAAAAACTCAGCTTATAGACTGAATGCTTCCTTTCATGCAGGTTTGCGCATTTTAAAAGGTTGGATGTACAATAAAAATAAATAAATAAAAAAACATCTCATGTGCTGCTCTTGTTTCAGAGATATTAAATATATTTTTAGGTCACCAAAAAGTTAACTATTCCCTCATTAAGCGCCAAATTGAATCATTATCTAGCCTAATTTTTTAGTGCTACTTTATTTGTGCAGGTAAAACTGTTGTTTGTACTGATTTGGTTTTTAAGATAATAATTATTTTGGACCGCATTCTCCTGACAGGTTTGTAAAAGATGCAGTGTGAGATTTATCAGATGATGAAGAGTGGTTCTCACCTTCAGCCGGTTCAGCAGCTGCTCCAACTCTCGCTTCATTTTCTGCAGGAACAGAAACAGGCTTTATACCATCTGCAGCCATTAATCTCTGTAGGTCCAATGAGGCAGAAAAACTTTCCCTCTCATTTTCTAACCTTTGCATTTCCCTCCACAAAGACACATTATCATGTATGCAGCTAGAAAATCTAAGACCCAATACCTAAGATAACGAAATACATCTTCTGCTGAAGGAAACAGCATCTACAGCTCCTGATCCACTGAGAAGACTGAACAATGTTTTAGTTAAATGATAAAAAGCTGAGGTTAGATCCAGGGTGTCGTTACCATGTTCTCAGAGCGCAGGTTGGCGAACTCGCTCTTCTCCAGGATCACCATGTCCTTCCTGATGGAGTCCAGGTGAGCCATGATCTGCTGCACCGCAATCTCCTACAGCCACATTATTAAAAGACATTCCTTTTATTTATGTCCTTCATAGTTGCATATATCTGAGTTAAAGGAAGATTTCAGGGGGGTGATCATAAAAATACTTGGATTTTATTTACTTTTACACCAAAACTTCAACTTAAAATAATGTTTCAAATCTGTTTTAAGGAGTCGGCTGCCCAGACAGCCAGCTCTAGTTTTAACAGGCAGCTTTTATTCCAAACAAGTACATTTTTCTTTGAAGGGGAAAAATTCAGCTCACTGACCAGCAGTGTGCAGCAACTTACAGTAGAGGCCCGCTGCCTTGTTTTTCTTTGTTTTAGAAATCCAGAAAAGTCTGGCACTTTCTCTGGCACCTCATTAAAATTACCGAACTGCAGAAAAGCCCTGATGGAAACTTTCAGCAGCTTTTTAAAGTCGTAGGGAAGCAGCCGTTCCAACCGTTGCATTTCCGAATTCTCCCGATCGGTCCATGACTTTACACAGGTGAATAAAGTGAATGTGATTGGTCGATTATCAAGGGGGCGGGATTATTGTGCTGTTGTTCGCTCTACGCCTGCCGAAGACACAGACGTCCATCCCCCTGAACACTGGGACGGAACTCAATGGGAAAGGAAATTATTCTTATTTCTGATTTCAGCCGTTGCCTATATTAGCTGCAACATATGAATCAAGATGCTATGACCGAAAAAATTTGATTGACAGATGACCATTGATATACGATTGGCCGAATTTAGGTGTATAAGCTGACGTATAACTGAATGGCCTGCATAAGATAATAAAAAAAACCCACAGATTTTAAGACAGGATTTTTTTTTTAATAGGAATTTTCTAAATTTTGGGACAATATGGTCTGATAAAGAGTACATTTATATACATGTTTAAACCAGAATGATTTGACATTTAAATATGATTTCCCTGTGACTTTAATTCCATGCTGCAGCAAAAGGCTCATTTTTAACAACATAAATGTGAGCTCGATGTCCTACCTGGTGGGATTTGGTCACCATGTCTTTATAGACGATGTCCATGTTGGCCGTGGTCAACGTCACCAAAGCTGAGACAATCAGCTCCGCCTGATGCTTCTCCAAACCTGCACAGAAATGACTGTAATTCATGGATGGAGAAGTTCAAAATATCCCAAAATTAAACGACAGCCCAGAAACACTGAGGCTCTGATAAAAAATGTTCCAGGTCCCCCATGATCCCATAAACAAACCAAACAAAACCATTCAAATGAGGACTTTTCTTCGGATAAATCAGAGAAAATTCTTCAAACAAAGTCTTTGGACTTGTGGAAAAATATTTATCTAATCTCTAAATTATAAAATAATCCCATAAAGTCACAAAGGACTTCGTGATGATGCCTAAAAGGCAGCATCCAAATGCTAAAATAAACCCAAACAGCAGTGACTTACTGTTGCTGCTACATAAAGCTATGGTTAGCAGTGGCTAACTTAATGCTAACAGATTAGCTTAAATGTTAATAAAACATGATTAATTAATCCTAAACTAGACATGATTTCATTTATAATAACATGATTAATATAGAAGCCACATATGGGTCCATACTGAGGAAGATAAGGTTAATATAAATAATTTTTTCAATAAGCTAATTTGCTTAGCATGGCTAATGCTAACTAAAAGCTGCTTAAATTATTCTATCTGGTAAACACGTAATATGTAGCCAACATTTAGAAAAATAATGTTTTCTAGATGACTCTGATAATAGCGCGTTGTGACAAACGCCAGATACAGCACTGGGACTTGATCAACAGCCGATACCGCACCGTGACGTCACAAACCAGTAGGTGGCAGTAGTGTTCTTTGACAAACATGGATGCCTCCAGTAAAGCACATTCAAATTAAATTACTCTTAATTAAAAACACTTATTATTTATTGAACAGTATGGAATAATTTTATATTTAACGTAATTTCAGAAATTTTTATTCTGAACATGACTCGACTTATCCTTTAAAAAGATATGAGATGCATATCAATGTGTGTTGGATTATGGGTAATAATTTAAAATCAAATGTATTTATTTGTACCTAATTGTATTTATTTGCTAACTTAGTGGACTTTTGGGCTTTAGGCTAATAGGTTATTTAGTAACTGGGAAGATTGTTGATCTTAAGGACTAAATACCCATTTTTTGACCATGTTCTTCATAGTCATGTTGCAATATGAAAACCCCTGAAAGCTTGTTAGAGGAGATCTGAGCTTATTTTAGCTTCGCCCCCTAGAGCTCACCGCTCTTCTCCAGCTCCGTCACCATGGCGTGGGAGTCAAAGGTCAGTTTTCTCTGCTCCAGAGGCATCAGTTCGACCTTTCTTAGGTCGAACGTCGCTGACGGAGTTCCTACATGGAAACCTAGAACACACAGTAAAACCTCCGGGTTCTTAGGCAGAAAACACAGGATGGAGGCAAGTTCAGAAGAACCTTCAAGAACCTGCTCACTGTAATGTCTGAACAAAACACAAAACCAACGTCAGATTGAGTCCGATTGAGGTCTAAGTTAACCTGGACTGACTGGTGAGGAGAAGGAGACGGGTAAAGAAGAAAGAGGAGAGAAGATCCCAAACCATAAAGTCATGATTAAAAGGAGAACAACAGATCATCCAGCAGTTTTTACAGTTGATTTTATTGCCATTATTATTTAGAATGGTTGCTTGATGATAATGTTATGGAAGGGAAATTGTTATATAATTATGTCAGATAATCAAGCTGCATTATTAAGTATCAAATCTGGAAAGTCTTGTAGATTAGATTTATTATTAGATATATACCACTTTAGCTTCATAATAAGAAATGTTTTGTTAGATTTATCTGGATTCCTGCTCATGTAGGCATAGAAGGAAACAAAGAAGTAGATATATTAGCTAAACTGGCCTTAAAATCAGATATTATTAACTTAAGTATTCCTTTAAGCCAAAGTGAGGGTAGATCTATAATTCAATATAAAATCTGTAAGGTTTGGCGGGAACAATGGGATAATCATGACACTGGTAGAGATCTATATAAAATTCATAAGTCTGTGGGGGTAATAATTGGACAAATGGAAGGCGGAAAGAAGAGGTAGTCACATCTCCACTTAGAATTGATCACAGTGGACTTAATATTTCTCTTTTCAGATTAGGAATCTGTAGTCAGATGGAAACAGTGGAACATGTATTATTAGAATGTGATACGGATTCACAGGATCGTCAGCACTTAAAGTCAACACTAAATAGAAAGAAAATAAGATTTTCTATGATAAACCTTTTAGGAAGTAAATCAAATTCTGTTAGAAATCAATTAATTAGATTAAAAAAAAAACACTGGATTATTTAATCGCATCTATAGTATGAATATAAAAACAATAAGTTCAAGATGCATAAAATATTCCCAGACATATCGCCTTTGTGCAAGAAATGTGAACACTCAGAGGCTGCCTTATCACACAGTTATGCCCTACGTCATAAACTGAAAAAATAATGGGGTGACATTTTTCATTTCCTGTCTAGGATTCTGGAAGTCCAGATAATCCCAGATCCTGTTCTGATCATTCTGGGAATATCCGATGAGCTCTTAAAGCTTACTGCTCACTTCATTTCTTTACAGCCGCATACTGCTGTTTGTTGTTTTTTTTTATTTTCAGTACTATCATTATTGTGTTAATGTTGTTGTTTATTATGTTTTTATTATCCTTATAGTGTCACTATGCCTTTTTGTTGTTTATGTGTCAGACTTTTTCTTAAAAACAAACTTGTAAATGTCAGATCAAGTGCCTTGATGAAGGAAATGTTTCACAATAAATATATTCGAAAACAATCAAGTGTGTGTTTGCATGTGCATATACACACATACTCATTTATATGTGAGTTTGTATGGATATAGATTGACAGATAGATAATTTGCAGATTAGTGCATACCATTGAGGTATGTATTAATAAATTCCCTCTGACATCATTGATGACCACAGTCCAGCCTGGTAGGTGGCGGAAAAATGCACCTTCAGTTGGCTGCCATTCGCCATTACAAAGCATAAGAAAGAAGAAGAAGAGGGAACAGGGAGGATGGAGCGGAGGGGGCAGAATCACTGGACCACCAGCTGCAGCTTTCATGGCTGCTGACGGGATCCTCCTGTATGTCCCTGAAGGGCCCAGGTGTTTCCAAATGTCGGCCCTGTAGGCAGACTGCCAGGGGCCAAGCAAGGGGCCGGTGATGTTCTACAAATGAACCAACGCCTTTAGAAGATGAACAGAGATCCTGTAGTCTTTTGGTCCAGAGATGGAAGGTTTTTAAAACCCTGCGAGCATCTAGAGCAGAGGTCACGGATTAGCGGACCGCGGTCTGGATCCGGATCCACCTGATGGCTTATCTGGACCCAACCATGATTTTAAACATTTATAAATGTCCTGATGTTGTCCGATGACAGTGTCTAACTTTACTTGCGCTGCTTCTCCTGTTAATACGGTAAAACCCTCCAGGGTGTCCGGCACCAGGCTACACGTGATCCAAATGATCCAATGAGCTGCTGTCAGTCTGGGTTGCTGCTGCTGCTACTTTTAGACACAGCAGGCAAACCTGTGGCAAGCCGGGCGATGGGAAAGAAGGAGAAGATGATGACAAAAAGAAAGCAGAGAAAGTACGGAC